TGAGCAAAGTCAGGGAGGCAGTGAAGGACAGGAAGGCCTGGTGCGATGTGGCTCATGGGGTCACGAAGAGTCCGACACGACTTAATGACTGAGCAACAATAACAATCCCCTTGCAAGTCCTGGAGGGGTGGGAAGCAAGCGTCTGTGGTTGGGGAAGGTGTGTGCGGTATGTGCTGCAATAAAGCATTTTCTGCAGATTTGCTATGCTGTGGCGTGCCCAGTCCTTGGAAAACAAAGGACCTTCGCGACCTACCTTTGCTAAGGGTTCCCCGTTATTCAGAAAGCTCCTCCTTCTGCATTCCTGTACTTTCACAATTTGCAACTGGAATTGTACAGTATCTTGGATTGATTCGAAACATTATTGTTTCTAATTAGTGCAATGGCACATAACACGGTTCACTAGGTTGGGTGAGCAGTTATACCGCATGCAAGGTCAGGATAGTGCTAAACCTGGTTGGATGGCTTTTTTTAGGCTTTGCACAATCCTAAACTGTTTGAACAATACACTGAACTCCAGACTAACCCAATTCTCCAAATAGTTTAATACAGTACGGCAGTGTTTCTCCACCTTGGCAGCTTTCAGATGTGTGGACTTCAACTCCCAGAATTCTTTGCTGGCTGGGGAATTCTGGGAGTTGAAGTCCACACACCTGAAAGGTGCCAAGGTGGAGAAACACTGCCGTACTGTAACCAGATTGCAAGCCTAATCTGAATACCACCATTTGCTTCTTCATGGTCCTTGGGCTGAAAGATTTTAGCTCCTTTAGGAATTCCAATTTTCTAACCCCCTCCACCAAAATTCCCAAATTCCATTTCGATGTTTTTTAAAAAGGCCCTGGCTGGATATTTTTTCCGAGCCTTTGCAACAACGCCTGGAAACGCAAACGAGCCCAACTCTCGAAATGCCTTCATCCAGCAACCGGAACCATAAAGAACGCCACGGGCTGGGTTGGCCAACATGCCAAGCCCAAGTCAGCTTAGCATGTTCTACTGCTGAGTCTTTCTCCTGACCCGGTGAAGTGTGTCGTAGGAACCCGACCAATTTGAGCCCAGCCTTGCTCTCATCCCACAACCTGCCCTGGGTCTGCAAGCCACGCTGGATCACAAACGGATGGGAATGATGGGGCGGGGGGTGGAGGCCACCACACCTGGGTCGATTTTACCTGGCCTCCAGGTAATTGGGCTCCCCTGCCCAGCCTTTCCTTCTCAGCCCAGCATGCAAGTCAGCAGACCGACAGATGTGGGGAGCGCAAAGAGAAGAGAAGACGGAAGATTCACGCGAACCCTCCGGAGCAGCGCTTCTCAACCTGGCAGCTTGAAGAAAAAATATTTCAGGAACAGGACATTGGCTTGCATTTGACTTTCACGGAGGATTCTTTTTTAAAACCTTGTTCTTTTCAGTATTTTACAGTCCCTTCTTAGCCATTCACCCCCAAGGAAATTCACACAATTTGCAATTAAATGCCGCCTCTCCTTTTGTTCTTATTAACACTTGCGGTTTGCTCCTGTTTCAATCAAGATGACCCGGAAATAGGTTGTATTTCCTAGATTTTGTATGTTCAGCTTTCAGGCTGGCAATTAATGACATAGAGCAGTGTTTCTCAACCTTGGCCGCTTGAAGATGGGCGGACTTCAACTTCATTCCCCTTGCTGGCTGGGGAATTCTGGGAGTTGAAGGCCACCCATCTTCAAGCGGCCAAGGTTGAGAAA